CTAATACAAAAAACATGGTATTGTTGGATTTCCTAAATACTTTGCCTTTAATGCCTAAAACTCCATGAAGTGAAGTGAGCAGCAAATACGCTTTCTCAAGCTTTTCTCAGTCAATTGACTTTACTGGTCAGACATGGTTGACAAATGGTCTGTTTGATCAGAGCATGAGAAATAGAAACATGGATGAGCTAACATGTTACCTGTCAGGCTCCATCTTGCCATCACTGAAACTTGAGACTCTACAGCAGCAGGACTTTGGAGGAATCAGTTACCTCCAAATTACCAGCTCCCAGCTCCATTGGGATTCTAGGGCTTTCCAGGCTGCCACAAGCTCTTTACCGTGTGTTGTCTGTATATCTCAAATGTATAACACAGGGAGACTGAAAAGGAGTAATCAGAGTTCTGATGATCATTCAGATGCTATTCCTGGCCATGACATATTTGCATACTTGTAAAACTTACTTTGCTAAGTCTAGCATTGCAACAGAACAATCTCATGGTGGCAGATGCTCATATTTTTGTGTTAAGGATACTTTTACAGATTATACCTTTCAATAAAAATTGCTTGCTTTTTAAAATGTAGCTCATGGTAATTATAGTCAAAACATAGCTATTAGAGCAACAGGATCTACATATTCTGAACCCAGGAGAATTTAGCACATTAATCATAACTGATGTTTTCTGTTTATTCTAATGAGCAAATTTACTAAATTGTTCATTTGAACAGTTTTTTATTTCACCTACTTTGCATTAGTGGGACAAGCTTGTCCCATTTTATTTACTTGTTTTTCTTTGTTATTTCATTGTAACAATCTTCTAAATTGACTGCCTTGCACGTGTTTGGCCTTCCACAGTGTGATAATTAAAATAATAATCCCCCAATGACAAATGTATATGAGTTTCTATTTTACTGGTAATTTACCTTATAACTTTTTAGTATTGTACTATTTTTATCCAACATATAGAAAGAATGGTATATTTACATATTAAAAAAAACAGTTTTTATAGGTTATAAGTCAAAATGTAATTATTTAGGATGGGTGTAAAAAAAGCATAGTTTCCAATTGACTAAATTAAAATGCAATGTCAATAAAACTTCCAAGTTGTTTTGCTTTTTGTTTTCAAAATGTATTATAAATTTGTACCTTTAACAAGAATCTGGAGTCGTTATCTAAAGAGAAACACTGAGCACTGGCGGTCAAGAGACAGGCTTGCAGAATGTGCCCTTTGGTTGTTTAAATGTACATATTCCTGAGTGTTTTTGTGTACTACCACCACCACCACCACCACTCCCCAAAAAAAGAAATGGAAGCAAATGCTGTTCAGCGATGATGCACGGAAGAGATTGTAATCATTGCAATGAAATGAATGTAAAACCTATGTTCTCCCAATAAACTATCACTCGTCACAATAAGAACTTAAAAATAAATAAATAAAAATTTAAAAAGACTCTGGAGTCCTGGTGTGGCACCACAGGATAAGCACTATACCTCAGGGTCAGTTTGAACCAAGGTCAGCAGTTCAAACTCTCCAGCCACTCTTGGGAAACTCTATATAGGGTCGCTATAAGTCGGAACCAACTCGACAGCACTTAATGACAACAACAACTCTAGTTACATTTTATAGTAAAATAATCATATGAGGATTCACTTGACGTAATTTTGATAATTTCTTTTTAAAAAATCAAGAAAAATTGTGTGCAACCATCCAGTTGAACAGAGAATGTATTCACATTGGAGTGAGGGACAGGCAATGCATTAACTCTTGTGTGTGCCTCTGTGGCTTATGTACGCACATGCGTGTGGAAGAGCATGGATATTCAAAGAACTGTGTCCAAGTGCAGAAGAGCGAACCATGCCGACCACGGTGGTATGTAGACCCTATTGTGGATGTTAGTAAATGTCTTTTCTTGGGCAAAGGACGGTGACATTAGACTATGAATTTAAATTGCTTTTCCTCCTTTTCTTAATGACTTGACATAAAAGAAAATTTGGGATGGAGAGAGAAATAGTCTTTGAATCCAGTTGTTAATAAGTGCCATCAAGTCGGTTTCAACCCATAACAATTCTGTATAGGGTTTCTGAGGAGCAGCTGGTGAACTTGAACCACTGACCTTGCCGTTCAGACTGACTTTGCAGTCCAGCACATTCACCCAAAGCAGCACACCAGGACTCTTGAATCCAGTAGTACCTATAATAAAGCTTAGCAATAAATTTTAAATGCTGGTTTTTCTCAACTGCTATGGAGTAACAAAATACCTATCAGCCAGCTTAACAGTCCCAGTTGTTTAAAATGGCTTCTCATAGAAAGGAAAAAATTGAAACTATACAACATCTTTACGGACTTCACATCTTAGTGTTTTTCTTCAGTTTTGCGACAAGCATTTTGTGCCCTGTTGCGAAATGAACGTGGCACCAACCATTCATCTCACAACTCACTAATCTACTGGGTTCAATAACTC